ATTTGTATAATAACATGGGTATGACATAGGTATTACAATGTGAAGGTGATTTATGAGGACACTTTCAGTGTCCCGTAAATCATAAGGCTTATAAATTGTACTGAATGAGTTTTTTTTGTTTGTTTTTTGGAAAATCTAAAAATGCACAAAGTTTTCTGTGAGGGTTGGTGTAGGGCGATAGAAAATGCAGGTTGTACAATATAAAAGGCATTGCACCTAAGGAGACTAAAATATGGTCATGCAGAATAAGGCATTAATATGTGCTTTATTAATACTACTAAACAACCAATATACTAGTAATATGCATGTAAGCGTGAGAATTGTGTAAAGTGCAGTCATATTTTGATATATTTGTGCGACATCCTGAGGGGAAAGAAACACAAAGTCTCACAGGAAGGGACTATAATAACAGAAACACCCCAGCTCAAATTTCCCAGAGCTTTTAGAGTCATTTTTCATTTTTTTTGTTTTCATAGGGCCTGGTGATGTGTTTGTGTAACTTTTATTAGTTCATACTTTGTCACAGCTTAGCATGAGTCATTCGTCATGAGGCTGTAATGAATTATGGGAACATTTGCATGACATCCATGACTTTATTTGTGCTGCTTCAGATTCTCCGTCTGCCTATTACTGTATTACCTCAACAGCAATGACAGCACAGCGTGTTCCCTATGGCTATGAAAGAACAAGGCTGTCAAGAAAAAGAGGTTTTAGCTGTAATGATTTGCCTGATTTTATCCATTCAAATTCTCATGTTACAGTGTAATTACAGGTATACAATATTGGTGTATTTTAACACCATTTATAATTTGTTATTATTTTGTGGAGCAGCTTCACACACTAATTGTAATTAATGCCTTAATGACTTTTTATTAACATGTAATATGTGTGGTTTGGCCCGTCTCTTCTAAGCTGTTCTCAAGAGGATCTTCACAAGAATAACAAAACCTGACAAAATCCAAAAAGCATTGGATGTGCAAATGTCCCCATGAGGAAAACAACATCATAAGGGTCTTAATGATGTTTTATTTCAGTTCTAAACATGCCTGCAGCTGTATTTGAAGGTTAGGGTTAGTCAAGAGTGAAAGGAACCTACATAGCAGGAAGCCTGTGAGAAAACAAGGTTAAAAATAGGGTGAAATATTGTAAACATGCCAGCATTTGTTTGTAAAAGGTGGTTCTAATAACAACAACAACAATAATAATAATAATAACAATAATAACAATAACAATAACAATAATAATAATAAGAGATCCTAAAATCTTAGAGAATTTTTTGTGTGTGTGCATGTTTATGTGGTTTATGAGGACACACATTTGTATAATAACATGGGTATGACATAGGTATTACAATAATGAATATGTAAATACAAAGTCAACGGAAAGTCCCCACACTGATGTAAAAATGCAGTGTGTGTGTGTGTGTGTGTGTGTGTGTGTGTGTGTGTCAGCTGATGAAGCTGAACGAGGAGTGGGATCACATCTATCACAGCACGAGTGTGGGCCTCCAGCAGCGTGTGGCGGCCCTCGAGGAGGAGAGAAGGGCCCTCAAACAGCTCAACAGCCGACTGCTTCTCAAAGTAGAACATGAACAGGTATGTGGGCAGAAACACGCTCTCAAACTCTTACAGCACCGCTGTTTCAAAGGCCAAATGTGTATTTTTAGCATCTCTACTGTCACTAAACAGAATTGCAAATATTGTTAGTTTACCTAGCAACACAGTCTGCCAACGGTTGAGCCAACAGTCCTGCTCCACTGGTTGGACATGTTTTTTTTTGTTTGTTTGTTTTTTTGGTATTTTGTGAAGCTTGTTTCTTCCTGATCTGAATCTTAAAGGGATAGTTCATTCTGTCAGGTCCACTATCGTCAAAGATGATTGACAATTAGCATACAGTTTGGATTGGCGGTATGGTTCTGTTCTGGGCAAGAACTCCC